TATTGTGCAAGATCTGGTCGTCCTGTTAAATCAACGCAGTGCTGTATCTCTAACTTGAGTCGTTTGAGGAGAGGCTTTGAGAGTGATACTGCATACACAGCACTCACTAGAACAGTATTAGGAGGAAACTGGAACTGTCCTCCTACAAGAGCAACCATTGCTGCTTTTACTGTCTCAGAGGACAATAGGCTTCCTTCTTGTACTCCAATCCTTAGACCATATTTCTCCCAATTCATCAGTTGAGGTTTGTCTCCTTGAATTAAGAACAGCCTCTTCTCTGCTACCCGGACATCACTCAGACATTTCAAATTATCTATCAATTGATTAATTCACACTCATGTTATATATCTCTTACCCATTGATGGTATTAAGTAACGGTTAAACTGAACTTCAACAGAACTAGTCTCTTTGATAAATTGCACTTGTTTCTTCTCATCTTCTATTTTAGTCATATATACTTCATTTTCAGCAACTGATGTAGCTCTAAGTTCCTCATTATCTTCTAGTTCTATATTAACAGACTCATCTAATAGAATATTTTCTAATGATGTACTGATGATACACTAACCATCAGTCATTATTTGTTCCTCTTCTACTGATTCCTCTAGTTCATCAGTTTTATGTTTCTTTGAATAATCTGTAGGAAAATTAAATTCTTATTCTCAATAAATCAATTATTTTATAATCTATAATTATTACTTGAGTGTGGTGAGTCCTCTTGGTCTCTCTTTCGTTTAGTAAGAAGAGTCTTAGTTTCTAGTAGCTGTTTTTCTAGCATACTCTTTTCTTGATTATAAAGTAAAAGTAATTATTATATTAATATGTGATTTAAATTGGTAAAACATGTGATTAAAGCTGGGTTCTCAATATGACGTGCGCGCTTCCATTATGACCGAAAGTGCTGTATAAGCAAATGGAAGCTTGCATCAATTTTTCAGATTAGAAAAATTTCTATTCTGATGCATTGATACATACTCTTATTTTTTTATTCAGCACTTTTAGCCATGAAACTAAAGCATGAAAAGCAATGCATTATTTTGAGAACCTTAAATTGGCATAAAATGTATGGGTCTACTAATGTAACATAATCATGCAAATACAATAATCATACCTGATTTAATCTTCAATAATTCTTCCCAAAGTAATTGATTGTTTACTCTAAACATCCCACTACTGACTGATTCCACTGACCATTGACCATCGTGAAAAACTGAGAGTAAAATAAATTAGTGATTGAGTGACAAAAAATAATGATTTTGGTATGAATGTAAACTTTGAAAAATGATAGAATTATAGTCTTGCTCCATCCCTGTGTTACCTTCAGAGGGGCAGGGCAATATTACAAGTACATACATGTGAAGTGTTTATCTTGTAAGATTCTCATAAAAAAGTAAATGTAGCTAATATAATATTACCTAGTTCTACTACCATTGTGATATGAGAATTAGTAACACGTGTATTAATCCAATCTATTGCTCCTCCTCCTACATCAATCTGCGTTGTCTTTGCATAACCTCCCAATACTATCAGGAACACATGATTAGGATCAACAACAAAAGATGATACAGTGTGATAGTATCTGCCAGTAACAGAATCAGGTAGAGGAATCTGTAGAAAATAAAAGATATAGCTGAATATACAAATATACACAGTGTTAGAGCATTGGGGCAAAGCTCAAAAGTGAAGGTGGTGCATGTATGATGTATTATGTATCATTGTACACCAAGGTAGGCTATTGCATGTATGTAAATATTACAAGTAAATAAAAAACATTAAAAATGGAAAAGTAGCAGGATTAAATTGTAAAAAAGTAAAGAAACAAGAGGGTACTTGCAAAGTGGTGTGATAAAAAATCCTACATCACTGCATGAAAGACATGGCTTCATAGTTTATCATGTAGTAGCCTGTGTGGATAATTACAATGCTTTTGGGTAATATCTTTCATGCAGTGATGTAGGATTTTTTATCACACCACTTTGCAAGTACCCTCTTGTTTCTTTACTTTTTTACAATTTAATCCTGCTACTTTTCCATTTTTAATGTTTTTTATTTACTTGTAATATTTACATACATGCAATAGCCTACCTTGGTGTACAATGATACATAATACATCATACATGCACCACCTTCACTTTTGAGCTTTGCCCCAATGCTCTAACACTGTGTATATTTGTATATTCAGCTATATCTTTTATTTTCTACAGATTCCTCTACCTGATTCTGT